AGCAGCAGGCAAGGGTGCTTGCAGCTCCATTTGCAAAAGGGGTAGGCAAATGCGCACGCTGCTCGCGCAAGTGGGGATGCGCCCATGCGCGTGCTTGCCCACCACTTTGGGTGGCCCGGTTTGGAACTGCTCACAGCCTGATAGTGGGCCACAGCCCAAGGGTTGGGGACCCCTGTCCTAGTGGGCGATTACTTAAATAAGAGCTGGCAGTCCTGACATTAACGATCTTCCTAGGAAAACAGAAATCATATTGTTAAAGTTGTGATGTTTCACTTTGTGACCACTTCATTAATGACCGTCTCTTCTTAAAAACTTCCAGTGTTGGAGCATTCACAGCTTCTGGAGGCAGGTTGTTCCACTGGTTAATTGTTCTGTCAGGAAATTTCTCCTTAGTTCTAGGTTGCTCCTCTCCTTGATTAGTTTCCATTCGTTGCTTCTTGTCCTGCCTTCAGGCGCTTTGGAGAATAGCTTGACTCCCTCTTCTTTGGGGCAGCCCCTGAGATACCGGAAGGCTGCTATCATGTCCCCCCTCATCCTCTTCATTAAACTAGACATACCCAATTCCAGCAACTGTTCCTTATATGTTTTAGCCTCCAGTCCCCTAATCATCGTTGTTGCTCTTCTCTGTACTCTTTCTAGAGTCTCAACATCCTTTTTACATCGTGGTGACCAAAACTGGATGCAGTATTCCAAGTGTGGCCTTACCAAGGCATTCTAAAGTGGTATTAACCCTTCACATGATCTTGATTCTCTCCCTCTGTTAATGCAGCCTAGCACTGTGTTGGCTTTTTTGGCAGCTGCAGCACACGGCTGGCTCATATCTAAGTGATTGTCCACTAGGACTCGGAGATCCCTCTCCCAGTTGCTGTATAAGTTGAGGACTAAAAATTGGGAAAAAAATTATCCGGTTGTGTGATCTACCTTCTGGATCATCACGATGTAGATCCCCGTCTGCTGGAGACCTCGGGTGTAGTAGAGCATGTTCACCCAGCCCAAAAGCAAGGCGAACACCATGGGCAGCACATAGTCCTCCATCTTTGCAAAGTACATGATGGATGAGGCCAGCATCGTACACGCTTGCACAAACCTGCAAAGGCCAGAGACAGAAAGAGAAGCAGCGATGATTTAGTGTGGGGTGTACTGTGAGAAAGGCCTTGACAGAGGAAGAGATACTGTTTAGGGCATGTTCAGGTAAGAGAAAGCAGAGCCCACAGTTGCATAACGGGCAGAGAAAGAGAAACATAGGAGGCTCCCTAATTTCTCAGATTGTTCAGAGAAACAGTGGGAGATTTGTACTTTCAAACCTGCAAGATTCAGTTAATGGAGCTGTACAATAAAGTAGAATTATCTCGTCTGGTTGTGTGTTCTGGCTGGTTTACCAGAGGCATGAAAGCCGGATGGTGACTTTGGGCCAATCATCAGGAGATGGTGAGTTCTAGTCCCGCCTTAGGCATAAAAGCCGGCTGGATGACTTTGAGCCAATCACCAGGAGACGGTGAGTTCTAGTCCCGCCTTAGCATGAAAGCCAGCTGGGTGACTTTGGGCCAATCACCAGGAGACGGTGAGTTCTAGTTCCAACTTAGACATGAAACTTGCCTGAGTGACTTTGGGCCAATCAGCAGGAGTCAGTGAGTTCTAGTTCCAACTTAGGCATGAAAAACAGTTGAATGACTTGGGGCCAATCACCAGGGAGACGGTGAGTCTGCAGACCAGGCAGTCAATCTAGGGAGATATATTGTCTCCCTGGAGCAAAACTCAAAGATGTAACTAAATATCTTACTCAAATAATTAACCCCATGGATTACTACCTCTTTCTTCTCCTGCAAGTAGTGACCAATGACTCAACAATGAATCCAAAAACAATAACAAAAGATTATGAACAGCTGGGGAAGAATGTGAAAGAATTAGGAGCACAAGTGGTGTTCTCATCTATATTTCCAACAAAAAGCCAGCATCCAATGAGGGTAAAAAGGGTAAAAAGGATTTTAGAAATGAGCCACTGACTTATTTTCCAATGCACCAGAAGGCAGGACAAGAAACAATGGAGGGAAACTAATCAAGGAGAGGAGCAACCTGGAATTAAGGAGAAACGTCCTAACAGTGAAGACAATTAACCAGTGGAACGGCTTGCCACTACAAGTTGTGGGTGCTTCATCACTGCAGGTTTTTAAGAAAAGACTGGACAGCCATCTATCTGAAATGGTACAGGCCTCTTGCTTGAGCAAGGGGTTGGACTAGAAGACCTCCAAGGTCCCTTCCAGTTCTATTCTGATTGATTGATTGATTGATTGAATCCCTCCATAAAAATAGCAACGTATACTCACGTACAGGAATATCTCGAAGCATCTATCTACTAGAAGACTTTTCAAAGAGAAGCGTCTTCTCCAGAAGTGAACACTCTAAAAGGGAATAAATAAGAACAGAAATCAGAACACTGTATTATGACAGGGATATGGGAAGAGGTGTGCCAGGTTCACACTGACCAATTGTTAATTTGGGGGGAATTTTGAGAGCGGAGCTGAGCTACTTTCACCTAGAGTGCCACTGCGCCATGCCACAGCTCAACAATTTAATATGGATTAACAACAGATCCCATCCTACCCCTGCCTCCCCCTCTTTAATTGAATGGTAGTGTTTGGCTTGTTTTAATTTACTTATGTTCTTCTATAGATCGTCCTCAACTTACAACAGTTCGTTTAGTGACCATTCCAAGTTTCAACGGTGCTGAAAAAAGCAACTTATGACTGTTTTTCACACTTAAGGACTGTTGCGGCATCCTTATGGGCACATGATCAAAATTCAGCCGCTTGGCAACTGACTCATATTTACGACGGTTGGAATGTCCCATTCTCACAACAATTTCACACCTGTGGATTGGTTGTTCAAACCGGCCGGATGGATAGTTGGGGGTGAGGTTTTGCATTGTCTCTTTTAACCTGTTGATTCCAGTGGGAAACCTTCAGATCCTGCCTTCTTCTGCTGCTGTCAATACCTGCCAATAAAAGTTCCTTTGGAAATGATGCCTGTTTCAAGAATTCTGCTTTCGTGGGAGGCTTAACTGAGGCAGACCCCTACAGGTAGTCCTCAATGTATGACCCGATAGGAACCGGAAAATACATCATTAAGCAGTGCAGCTGTTAAGGGAGACACCACAACTTGCCACCTTCGCTGCTGGCTTCCCAAACTGACTTTTCTTGTCAGGAGGCTGCTGGGAAGGTCACAAATGGTGATCACATGAGTATGGCATGTTGTGAATGTCGTGAATGCTCAATGGATGACAAACATCCAAATTCTGAGCATGTGACTGCCAGGATGCAGCTATGGTCATAAGTACGGGGTAAGTCGCTGGTTGTAAGTCGCCTTTTTCAGCGCTGTCGTAACTTCAAGCGGTTGCTAAATGAATAGTCGTAAGTTGGGGACAGCCCATAGGTGGAGTTATAGAAAGCACAGCACCATTTGTAGAAGAGGCATTCCATCTTGACTATAATTGGGACTGCAATTTCCACTGCTAAGCAAGGCGGTTCTTAACCGAGTCGGCAAATCGCTTGCCGTTGTTAAGCGAATCATGCAATCATTAAGTGAATCTAGCTTCCCCCAGTGACTGCTTGTCAGAAGCCGGCTGGGAAGGTCGCAAATGGCGGTCATGTGACCCCCAGGATTTTGCAGCCACCACAAATACACACTGCTAGCTAAGTGTTTAGATTTTGATCATGTGACCCTGGGGATACAGCAATGGTCGTAAGTGCGAGTATCTATTGTAGGTCACTTTTTTCAATGCCGTCTTAACTCGGAATGGTTGCTAAACGGATGGTTGTCAAGGACTATCTATATGGTATACTAAAAAATTCATTTGTGGTCAGAGGTGTGTAAACGAAAAGGAAAACCTACCTGAGTAATGAAGAAATAAATACCACCAATTAAAACGATCACTGGCCCAACAACGTCCTGGAATGTCATTGTTGTTGGAACAAAAGGCTGTAAACACAGGAAGAGAACAGGCTAAGAACAGAGACATCAGCACCGGTAGGAGATGGCAGATCCTTCAGGTTGGTGTTCCTCAACTTGGGCGCCTTTAGATGGATGGACTTCAACTCCCAGAATCCCACAGCCAGGATGCTGGGGAAGTTAAAGCCCACAAGTCTTAAACTGGCCAAGATTGGACACACCTGGTCTAGATCTTCTACATTTCATCTGAAGTATCTACTAAGATATAAGTATATAAATACAGTGAGCGCTTATGCGCCTGAGACAAATTCCTTGTGTGCCCAATCACACTTGGTCAATAAAGAATTCTGTTCTATTCTACTCTATTCTATTCTATTCTATTCTATTCTATTCTATTCTATTCTATTCTATTCATAATAATAATAATAATAATAATAATAATAATAATAATAATAATAATAATAATAATAATAATAATAATAATAATAAGTTGGAAGGGACCTTGGAGGTCATCTAGTCCAACCCCATGCTCAGGCAGGAAACCCTATATTCTATTCTATTCTATTCTATTCTATTCTATTCTATTCTATTCATTATTCTATAATAATAATAATAATAATAATAATAATAATAATAATAATAATAATAGTAATAATAAAAAGTTGGAAGAGACCTTGGAGGTCATCTAGTCCAACCCCTGCTCAGGCAGGAAACCCTATATTCTATTCTATTCTATTCTATTCTATTCTATTCTATTCTATTCTATTCATTATGCTATTCTAATAATAATAATAATAATAATAATAATAAGTTGGAAGGGACCTTGGAGGTCAACTAGTCCAACCCCCTGCTCAGGCAGGAAACCCTCTATTCTATTCTATTCTATTCTATTCTATTCTATTCTATTCTATTCTATTCTATTCTATTCTATTCTACCAAAGATGATGGAATTGGGTACGTCTAGTTCAGTGGTTCTCAACCTTTTTAATGCCGCGACCCCCAACCGGTCGTAAGTCGAGACTAAACCGGTCGTAAGTCAAGGACTAAACCGGTCGTAAGTCGAGGACTACCCAACCGGTCGTAAGTCGAGGACTTTCCCTGCCCGGGAGCACCGCGCATGCGTGGTTCCGCCCCCTGCGCCGGCCGAGGTGTAGCTGGAAAGCGGCAGAGACGGAGCAGGCCGACCACCAGCTGGCCCAGCTCAAGGGAGGTAAGGCACCCGCCGGAAAAGGGGAAAAAAATGGTGGACAGCCTTGCTTGGCGACCCCCGTTGAGAACCACTGGTCTAGTTTAAGGAAAAGAAAGACTAAGGGTGATATGATAGCAGAATTCCAGTACCATATTTGGGGGGGGGGGGGTACCACAAAGAAGGGGGGGGGAAATCACCCTATTTTCCAAAGCACCAGAAGGCAAGACAAGAAACAACAGATGAAAACTAATCAAGGAGAAAAATAACCTGGAACTCAGGAGAAAGTTTCTGACAGTGAGGACAATTAACCAGTGGAACTCCTTGCCTCCAGAAGTTGTGAATTCTCCAACACTGGAGGTTTTTAAGAAGAGATTGGACAGCCACTTGTCTGAAATGGTATTGGGGTCTCCTGCTTGAGGAGGGGGTTGGACTAGACCTCCTGGTCTCTTCCAACTATGTTTTGTTCTATTCTGTTCTTTATACCCAAAGCATCCATTTGTTTAAAGACTATTTACCTCACCCTTTGGAGGCTGGAAGTAAGCAGTGGTTGTGAAGGCCAGCATGAAAATCAGGTGGAAGCATAAACTGAAGAAAAACCTTTTTTTAATGAAAAATTCCCATTTGTGCTGAAGTAGGTTGTTCAAAGGCTCCAGGACCACCATTTTGTACCGGTTCTGTGGAGGGAGAATGGCAGGGAATTGAGCAGCTGCTGGTGTACAAAATGGAGTCAGAGATGGTGACACAAACTTGTAGTTTTATATAAATAAATATGTTTTACATCTAAACAGATGCAGCAAACTAAATAGGCAAACAGGGGCATCATGAGGTAAATCAACAGGAGGCACATCATGAGGTAAATCACAGAGCACAAAAGGGCACACAGAAGAAAAAGGCGGGAAAAAGGGAACCTCCCCCTCCACACCCACAGCAGCCAATCACAGCATAGATTGCCTCATGCAGGAGCCAGCACTCTCCAATCAACTACAACTGTGGGTTCTGCCACACTGCTGCACTGCTCCAGTTAAATATCTTAACAAATTTCTACTGCTTCTCTGAGGAATTTACAAGCAAGATTATTCCATCACTGAATACCCACAGCAACCAGGAGGAGGGGGGGAGAAGGAGGGGGAGGAGGAGAAGAAAGAGGAGGAGGAGGAGAAAGAGAAAGGAGATGAAGAAAGGAAGAGGAAAAGAAGAAAGAGAAGAAGAAAGTAGGAGGAGGAGAAGAAAGAGGAGGAGATGAAAGGAGGAGAAGGAGAAGAAAGGAGGAAAAGGAGGAGGAGGAGAAAAGAGGAGAACAAAGGAGGAGGAGGAGGAGGAGAAGAAAGAGGAGGCAATGAAGAAAGGAGAAGAAAGAGGAGGCAATGAAGAAAGAAGGAGGAGAAGCAAGAGAAGAAAAAAGGGGGAGGAGGAGAAGGAGGAGGAGGAGGAGGAGAAAAAGAAGAAAGAGGAGGAGGAGAATAAGAAGAGAAGGAAAAGGAAGAGGAGGACAAAGAGGAGGAGGAGCAGGAGAAAGGAGAAAGAGGAAGAGGAGGAGGAGGAGGAGAAGAAAGAGGAGGAGGAGATCTCGGTCCTGAAAGAAGGAATTTCAGGGCAGAGAACATCCTGAGAAGAACCCTCCTTAACTGCATCCACTCACTGGAGTGTCGCTGTTGTAGGCCAGGATCTCCAGCGCTGAGTTCTTCTCACAGGTGTCAATGGAGGTCAGATCGTAGAGGGAGGTGTGGATGGGACCATAAGTCCACTCGGTCAACTTGCGCGAAAGGTCCTGGAACTCAGGAATCTCTCGGTGGAGAATGTGCTTGAGGATCTGGAGAGACCAAAAAAGTTGAGCTGGGGTGGGTCACAAAAGCCAAGATGGTCTCATTGTCCAACCACCATGTGGACATGCGGTGAATCATGCAGTCATTAAGCGAATCTGGCTTTTCCCCCATTGATTTTGCTTGTCGGAAACGCTGGGAAAGTCACAAATGGTAATCTCATGAACCCGGGACTCTGCAACTGTTTTAAATACATGCTGGTTGCTAAGCAATGAAATTTTAATCACATGACCATGGAGATCCTACAAGGATTGGCCGTAAATCATTTTTTTCAATCCCGTTGTAACTTCGAACAGTTACTAAACAAATGGCTGTACGTTGAGCACTACCTATCCTGGTGAGGGGGGAGATTACCTCGACTTTCCCAGTCTTGACAGCCAGAGTCAAAGGGGTCAGCTGTTCCCGGTTGACAATCTCTTCCAACTTGCAGGAAGGGTTGATCTCAATTGCTTTCTTCAGGATCTCGTCGTACATCTTAACCACGACCTCAGTGTTCTTGTCCATGTCATTGGCCACCATCACCAACGCATGGAGGACGGTGTTGCCCATGGAATCCTGTTCGGTCAGTCTGGCCTTCTGGTACGGGTTATCCAAGAGATACTTGACCATTTCTAGCTGGTTAGTACAAGCAGCCAAGGACAGAGGAAGTTCACCTGGGAAGAGAGAAAGATGGGCCAAGACTGCATTGAGCATCTAGATCAGGGATGTCCAACCTTGGCCACTTGAAGACCTGTGGACTTCAACTCCCAGAATTCCCCAGCCAGCCATCTTTAAGTGGCCAAGTTTGGTCACCTTTGATCTACAGTGTCCTCTGAAGAGGGAGGATATCAAAACCCCTTTGCTGATGGAAACAAAGGTATCTGCAGGAGGGGTCAAAAAAGTCAAAATGGCAGCTGCAACTTCCCAACGGAAGCCCTGTGATGCACACAAAATACAATGCACATAAAACACAAGTGCAAATGGGCTCAAGGCTTCTAAGACAATGTTAGGCTGCCATCTTCACTGTTGGGACCCCTCCCGGGACACCCCAATTCCCTCCACCAATAGGAACTCCTGATGATCTCCAACTTTGTTTATATTAAAAGTTTCAGTTT